TGTAGTTACGTGTTGGGCTGCTAACTGCCAAACCACCAGTCACTCTGCAGGAGGAAATCGGGGCTTTCGACCCCCATAAAGTTAGTCTTGGAAACTCAGGGGCAATTCTGTCCTGTCGTGTAGGGTTGCTATGAGTCAGCATCGACTCCATGGCCGTCCGTGCATTTGGGTTTGGGTTTTGAGTACCCAAGGAGACAGCATGGACCTTGTCCCATCATAATCTGCCTTCCTGAGCAACAGGTCACAGGGGGTTTTATAGGCAAGGCTGGGAGAGGAGCTCTTCTGGAGTAAGCTGCCGTGAGACAGGCCATCTGCTTCTCAAACTCAGTCTCCTTCAAAAGGCCGAGAATCATCGGTCTCCTTGTTCAGAGGGTGTGTGTCTATTCCAGCTACAAGTATTGCTAGCGAGCTCTGTCCTCCAAATGAGGGTGGGTTGATCTCTAACTTCTAAAGGGGAAAATGGTAAAGGTTTGTCCATTCATCATGAATCCCGATACAAATGCAAGATTGAGACAAAGGAGAACAAAGGACATGCAGCTCCACAGAGACACCCGGCCCAGGCGGCATCCACACCACGGGAAAAGAGCCAAAAGGCGGTGGCCCCACTCCCTGCACGTGGGCAGAGACAGAGGGGGGCGGGGAAGCTAGGTTTCTACACACAGGAGACTGAGAGGAGGCACCTTGACAGCCGGCTGAGGTGGTGTCAGAGAGGGGAAGTAAGCAGCCCAGATTGTGCTGGATTCTATTTGCTACTCGTTTGTGGAAGATAATGGTATCGATGTTCATTACGAATGATGGCCTGTAGTTTTCTGTGATTATAAGTAATGTCTTTGGTTTGGGTATTAGGGTGATGCTGGTCATGATAGAAGGAGTTAGGAAATATTCTCTCTATGTAGACTCCCGATACCATTTCTTGAAAGGAGAATGGCTCTTGAAGGTCTCGGTGTTTCTTTCCTTCCACTCCTCACACTCACTAGAACAGACGTCGTCTTGAAGGTCCAGATGGATTGGCTTCACTCTGTTTCTGGGAGAACAGCTTCAAGGCATTTTGTGAATTTAGAAGTCGCAGAAGGTCAGAGTAAGTTGTTACTATTCAGAAAGAGTTGCCTGTCTTGTAATAACGGGTCTGGTTGCTTCAGAATTTGAAAGATGACAAAAAAATGTGTTTTTTAAACCTTGGAGAGGGGCACAGTAAGTTGTTTGGAGAGATGTTGATGAGAAAGAGCTGAAGGAGTTCTCGATGCGAGAAACATCACAGTGTAAGACTCTGGAAGTCTGTAAGAATGGATCTTCACTAACTACCATACCTTGTATTTCCTTAAAATTGGCCAAGGAGCATGGAGGAAAGTAAATTAACCAGATCATTTCCAGTGACTCATAAAAAGCTTTGAAGTTGTTCTCTTAGGAACAGAGGGAAGCCTGTCCTTCTGGACCGTGAAGATGACATGAATTCTGGTGAGTGTGATTCACAGAATAAACCCTGACCTTCAAGAACCTCAGGGCCATTTCTATGAGTCAGTCTTTCATTTCTTCTCCGCGTGGTAGAATTTACTGGTGGATCCACCTGGGTTTGCTGCTTTTTCTTTGAGAAGTTGATTAGTCTTTGATTCCATTTCTTTAATATATGATAGGGCTATTCAGGTTCTCTCTCCTAGTGTGGATTCTGGTAGATTGTGTATTTCAAGAAAATGGTTCATCTCATTTAACTTATCAAATTTGTGAGCATAGCATTGTTATAAGATGCCTTTTGCAAAATGGTATAAAATGACTGCTCTTTCATCTCAGATATTAATACTTGGCATCATCTCTCTCTTTTCTTGGTTACCCGCTAAAGCACTATCAGTGTAATCGAACATTTCAAAGGGCCAGATTTCTTTTCTTTGTTGTTGTTCTTCTTC